GCCATGCCTAAAGGCTCGGAAAGGTTGACACGGTTAAGTTCAGTTACCCTACACACGGACAACGGCGTGGTGTGTCATTTATGAGACCCTAAAAGATGAACGGGAAAATTTCCATTTGGTGCGTGGCACTCATAATCAGAGCAACTGGTATACTAAAATCAGTTTAGCATTTATAAAGAAAAAGTGCCATAATAAACGACTATCTGCTTACGTGCGGGCGTAGCCCTTGATTAGTGGAAAATTAACTTGTGGTTGTTGAAAATTGAAAGCCTTTAAAGCCCACACGCTACCTTAAGGTACTGGAAGTCCAAACGGCCGGTAGGCAGTTAGTCTGCTACACAGCCGTTTTTAGGGTCGTCACGCAACGCTGCAGAGGAGCGTTGCGTGACGACACTAAAAACGGCTGTGTAGGAGACTAGTAGGCAGTAGAGCATGCGGATAAACTATCAACCTTCCATGGAGATCTCATCGGAAGTTCAATTTTGGGAGAGGTTTCTGGAGGAATGTAAAATGTTAGCTACGATGGACCGCTACGAACAGACTAATGTCAAGACAATCCACCCATTACAGTCAGAACTTTAAGGTGACTCGACCAAGTTATTTTGTGAGGGTACAATCCTACTTTGAAGCTCTCTGGTATCCCCACCTAACATATAGCATGGATAACATATAGATCAATCTACAATATAGCATAAAATTTTTGGCGATCGGAGTAAATGTCACGTGGTTTTAGTGCCACGCCTCTTTGGGGTCTGAGTCGAATCTCTCGGCTACATATAATTCGCATTAGTGCCTTCCGTTGAACAGAGTTTAACCAAAATCGGAAAGACCAATGGGAGAAATTCAGCGGTTTCCAAATTTAGGTCATAATTTATGTGGAAATAATAAGCAAACTTTACACGATTATATTTAGTAAACTATGAGATTTGTCCCTTTAATTTTGGGATCTTTACAACAGATGGGTCCTTGCAAGTCAGCAAAAAGCTTTAGAGCCTTGTAAATGCGCGCGATTTCGAGCAATGCAATCATATAGAAACTATAGTTTTAGCTATTTGTTGACGTTTGTCAGCGTTTAAGAGTCCTTCTCACGAAAAAAGCATTTTCTTAAAAACTCGTGGTTTTTTTCCTTCAATTTTATTCAGGGCCACAATTGATTAACTAACTACCCGAATTCTGAATTTCATGGTCATTGAAAAACTGTGACATTATCTTTTATAAGCCCAAACGTGAGTAAACATTGAAGATTTTTAGCGTTTTAGCTGAGTTTGTGCTTTGAGAGTTTTCTATTGTTTCTAGTCTGTCATGATACAGCATTCTTGTTCAGCACGCGTGCAATGACCGCCCTTGGCTGACTTCTGAATGCTCACGACTGGATTTACTGTAATGGGATCGAACATTTCCGGATTTTTTGGGGTAAGACAGTTGTTCATATTAACGGTTAGTAAACGTACCAGAATGTCTGTACTGTAGGTGAAAAATGGGTTAATTCATTTTAGGATGACCTATCTAGATAAGTGACTTAGTTAAGATAGCGAAAATCACATCTTTGCTCAATAGTGACTAAGATGGGATCTACAATTGGCCACAGAATAGACTCTAATGGGGTAGGGGCTCTGAGAGGCCAGCGACACATACCCAGCAAAAATAACCCAAGTACCCCCTGGGGGTTCTGATCACACGTAAGAACGGTGATTTCGGCGCGATTTCTGTAACTGACGGGGCGAAGATGCGCCGCGTTAAAGGGTCACATATCGGAAAGGTGTTCGTAATATAACGGACAGCTTTTCGAGTCGACAAGAACAGCTACCCAGTATAGTATGATACTGACTTAAGGATTATGGAGAGAACAAACCAGCTAAATTAAAACGCATGAAATGGCCAGAAATCTACTTGGGAATCTCACAGGAAAGAAGACTACACAACTTACGTGAGGTTAGCCGATTTTTGTTTAAATCCTTTCACATTCGCTAGCCTGCGAAAACATCCGTTTCCGAGGAGTCCTCGCTCTTCGCCGCTGGGACGTTTCGCAGAGAAACAACGTTCCTCCGCGCGAAACGTCCCCAGCGGCGAAGAGCGAGGACTCCTCGTACACGGATGTTTTCGCAGGCTACACATTCGTATGCTACAGAAACAATCCCTTTGGCCATCATACAAATCCTTATACAGCCAAACCCCGTTAACACGGACACTGAAGGGGGCATAAAAGGTGCCCGTATTAAGAGGGTGTCTGTAAAGCGGGGTTTGACCGTATTCGAAAGTACACAACAATGCAGGGCCCAGTTGTTCTAAGGCCGATTAGCGCTTAACCCGGGTTTTCTCGGATAATTTTCTGACAAAAAGAATTAAAACTGAAAGGCTTTTTAAGCTTTCAAATCTGGGCCCAGTTGTTCGAAGACCGATTAGCGCTTAATCCAGGTCACTTTTTTTTGGGCCGAAAGCATTTTCTCGGATACATTTCTCTGTTATTTTTAAGAGCTTCCAATCATCAACTTGTTGACAGAAAGAATTAAATTGAATTTACTTTTTAAGCTTTCATATCTGAATGCAAATTTCGCGCTATTCTCTGCGTTATCTTAACCAAGCTTTGAACAAACCGGCCCTGAATTCAAATCTCGCACTAACCCTGGGTTATCTTAACCCAGCTTTAACTCGGCCCCGATGGTCATATCTCAAACTTGGGCCAGCTGTGTCCACAGCAACTCGATAGCTAGACGTATTTCCAAATTGAGTAAAACACACACAAAAAATGCTCAAAACCTTCAACGAAGGAATAGATAACACAGCAAATAGAAAAGGAGGTATGGATGGACAAATTTGAAAAGGTTTGAAACGGATTATGCAAACTGTGGTTTCTGAAAACTTGTTAGCTGAACCTGACAGTTTTTCAGAGTTCGTGACATCACAAGTGATTAATGCTGCTATTAAGTAGTTGTTTATTCAACCTCCATAAAATTTAAATAGTCGTCAGACAAATAAACTGGAAAAATACCTCCTCGCGTGATATGTTGCCGGACTGTTTCCACAAAACCCTTGGTGAGTAATTTTCATCTTATATCTTCACGATCGATGAAGGGAATCCCAGATATTTTTTTATAACTTTAGAATATCGCTTTTTAATACAACCGAAAGCTGTTTTTCGTACAAGACTTTTAATATGCTGCTGACTTCGCCATGGCGACAAGTTGAAATGTGGCTTGTGGCTGCTTTCTATTTCACCGAAAAAAAGAGATCAGACTTCCACACGATGCGGAAAGGAATCAGATTATTTTTTACTTTAGAATATCGCTTACATTCGAAAGCTTTTTTCGTACAAGACTTCATGCTGCCTCCTTTGCCATGGCGACCAAGATAAATTGAAATCTAGCTCTTTTTAATTTCAGCGAAAAAGAAAAACAATCATCACGCTTAAAAAGACCAAAATATTTCACCGTAGAAATTGCAATTTCCTTACGATCAACCAATGGTTACTCCTTTTTAGGAGAGGGACGAAAACCGACGAAAACAAGTGTTTCATGGATTACTGGAGACAAGCAGTCGTTTCGTGATTTATATTACATTCGGGTTTGATGAAAATCGTTTCTTCCTTGTGAAAAATGATAAGGAACTGAACTGTTAATTAACAGGGTCGATACTTTAACTTCTGTTTCTGGCGTCGGTTGTTCAAATGTTGGATAGCGCTATCCACGCTGATAAATTTAAGGGAAGCCAATTACTCTATCAGCTGGATAGTCAGGATTTATCCTGTGGGTAGCGCTCTCCAACGTTTGCACAACCGCGGCCTGGCCCCAAAAGTTGTTCAAAACACGGTCGATACTTCTATTTCTCGCAGCGGTTGTTCAAAAGTTTGATAGCGCTATCCAGCGGATAAACCACTATCCAACAGATAGGTGTTAAAGAAACCAATTGCGCTATCCAGTGGATAGTGATTCATCCCGTGGATAGCACTATACAGCGTTTGTACAACCGCGGTCTGGCTCCGGTTGTTCAAACGTTGTATAGCGCTATCCACCGTTTGAATCACCAGGGCCTGGTGTATTGTCGAAAGAATGTTTAGACTAAAACGATGAATAATATGAAAGAAATACTATACCAGCTGTATGGACGGCATAATAAGTAGCCAGCTGTTTAAACATTGCCAAGAGTGCTTTCAAAAGTTAATTTATTAGCATAACGACAAGCATGATATAATCAATATACGCGACGACCTCTTGTTACTTTAGGTCAAGCCCAAATGTCGAAATTTACAATCAGCCTCGGAGACCTAGGGGCGGTCAGCTGGACCGCGAGAAACGGCGGCGAAAGTTTTAAAGAACGCTCGAGAGAGCCGCTAGTATCCTACTCTTAACGAACCAGTTCCACGACTCAATCGAATGCTTGTCTCAGATTGGGCACAAAAAAACAATCCGAAGCCAGCATTTATCGTTCTGCTCAAAGGAACTGCAGAAGAGTCGATTAAAATGTTAGTTTTGGCGGGCAAAACAATGAAAACTGCAACGATAAAACTATTTTAAAAGTATTTTCGTTTGTTTATCTTTATAAAATAACTAAGATAGTACGCGCGCTCTGATTGGCCGAGAGGCGTGTTTGCATGAGAATATGTAAACATAGGTTGTGACTTCAAGATGTCTTGCCTTTTCCGCGCTAATGCATCAGTCAATTCCACCTGCGCCCAGCGCCCCCCTCCCCCCGGGCTGACCCCCGGGCATTAGCATTTTTTTTGCCTTGGATGGCAAATTCCTGGGGGTGGGGACTCTTGAGTTGTCAAACCCCCCCGGGGTGGGGACGAAAAAAGAGGGCAAATGCCCCGTCCTACGTCAACACTGCAACATTTTTCATTGCTCGCACAGTCAAATAGTGCCATTTTAAGCATTTTAATATGCGATTTTTTGTTTCAATTGACGTCTTCCTTTGTAATAGCGCGAGGATTCTAAAGACTTCACGCCGCGACGACATGCACCAGTTTACGGTTTTAGTATTGATATGAAATTATTGACATCAAA